AGACATGCCTGGAGTAATGAAACACGCGATCTCGTTGGCTCGCTTAGCTTGTGCACGGACCAAGGGCGCACCTGGCGGCAGCTCGACGGATAAGCTCGCGCCTTCACTAGTCTCGCACTTCTCTCCTTAGACAATTCATCCACGTTTTGCCTCCCTCCATTTCGGTGGTTGTACTGTATCAGGGATCGTCCTGTTACATTTCCCTCACCACCGAGCCAGTGGCCGGTAAGTTCGCTTCCATTACTGTAATGTTTTGATCACTAACATTAATAGGTGTGTCGTCGTTAACTCGTGACGAAAAGTGAGTTCGTCAACTCACGACGAAAACCGAGTCCCGTCAGCTCATGACGAAAACTGAGCTTGCGGCCAAGAGGAGGAAGAGGCGAGCCCAACCTCTATAAAAACGTGGTCGATATGGCGGGGGATTTCATATAAGTTCAAACAAATAGATAGCGTAAACGAAAAAATCTAGTGGTTTCTCATAAGTATGGGTCCTTACAATGTAAGGACTCGATGAGGTTTGCTGTTTTTCCCTATAAATATATATATTTGTGGCTCCCCCTTTTTTTTTCTTTTAAATTTTTTTCTCTTTCGCTTGCCTTGCTCAAACGCCTTCTAATTCGGGGATTGATAGCGATGCCAAAGTTGATAACAAAAATGCGTACCCCAAGTCGGGGATAATGAATATTCCATTCGCTTAACGGCCGGCCTTGCGTCTCGTAGCAAACGATTCTGTGTCGCAAGAAAAATATCGATATGGCTTCAATCTAACCTAAGGTTCTGGGCAGGTTTTCTCATATTCATCTCCGGAACGAACGCGTCCTGTTGAATTAATGATTTGGATTATGAGTTTTCTTATATACCTGCAAGGTCTTGTTGTTATTACCTCCCTGCCATCGAGGTCACGAGATCATCCTCCTTGAATAGGGAATCCACCTCTAATCACTACCATAATTCAAGACGCAAATAATGCTTACTGCTGCTTGCGTCTACAAAACGATTCAACAACTCCGAATTTTTCCAGTATTCCAGTGAAAACCCAATTTAGACCCTCCACTTCACTACCCTGGGATAGTCACAAGAGGGACGACAAGCGATTCGCCCTGAGCAACCATTCTTCATAGAGCAGTGAATGGAATAAAATTTTTTATCTCCAGTTTTAGCAGCCTTCTCTCTTCTTGTATATTTCTCAAAGAAATGCTGAAGAATGGAAGGAAGGGATTTTGATTGGGAAGTGAAATGTAATATCTCGCATAGTTATGTACATTGAAGTGTTCTTCTTCCGCATGTAAACGCATCGATTGTGTGCAATTCCACCCCTTTTCGCCCCAAAGTAGCTGAAATAACTAAGATGAGGAAGCTCTGAGATGCCCTTAGTTCGCCATCGAAAGTCCACACCCTCAAACCCTCTCAAATGTTCCGTAATGACGAATAACGGACTTCTCAACTCAATGTTGCAGATATCCCAGCTGCATGCCAGCTAATACCGTAGCCACAATGCCCATGAAGAAGCTCAAAAGCACCAGGCCTACCAAGTTTACCGTGGGTACCTGCCAAGGTATTTTCACTGGTAGTAACGGTGCTTTCAATAACAGCGCCAACGGTCCCACCATCTTCTTCATTGGCTTAACACTGTCTCTTGTCGCTGTTGCAATAGCTCGGTGCATGCCCGGGAGGCCGTCCATACTTTGCGCGCTCTTGAATGCCCAATATCTGTAGAGCCAGAATCAGACCTCTGGAAGAAGATGAAGTATGGACTTGGGGAAAAGAGCACTCACTGTTCAATACTATCCTTCTTGTTTCCACTTTCCTCCGCTGCAACCCTCTTCACAGAAAAGTCGTTCAACGTCGTTCTGAAAGCCTTGAAATCGTAGTACGGCACGCTGAACCCGCAACTAGTACTCACTTGATGAATATGCACGATGATGATCGCTCTCGATCCCGCGATTGCGTTAACTTTGTTCTCTTCCACAAAGGCCTTGAACTTGTCCGATCCATACTCAAGCACCTCACCCTTGCCCCACAACCTCACAATCTGCGGCTGTCCCTCAAAAGCATTAAGCAGTATTGTGATCCTATCATTGCCTTCCTGATGTAGATGAGAGATGGTCTCGACCCCAGAACCACTGAGATCCAGGTACCAGAATGTAGTAGGGTTCAGGACACCAAAATACTGTCCGCCTTTGGGGGAGATGTTGATGTGGCCTTTTTGGGAGAGTGTTGCGGTTGCGACCCAGAAGATTTTTTGATCTAGGATCCATTTGATGAGGAAAGTGGGGATTTTTTCGTAGAATTGACCCATTTTGGAGTTGGTTGATTTGATGTGAGTTGGAGACGGTGAAAGAGGAACTTAAGTAATGGTGAAGTGGGATGAGTCAAGTCGAGGGATGTCAACCCTTTGGCGGGGTGAATGTGATTTGCAGGGAGTTAGCCGAGACCGGCAGTTGTTATTCTTTGTTATTCTAAAGTGGCTGTTTAAGACTGACGCAGAAATGTGGTTGTTTGCATGAACAGCCAAAGTAAGCCCGGCTTATTTTTCAATCGCTGGGGAATGTTTGAGATTTATTATGGTTGGCCGGTTGAGGGGAGATCGGCAATTGAAGACCCCGAAATCTGACGAGCCGAGCCGACCAATGTCCCCCCTTTTTCCAAAAACAGATAATTTACCGAGGAGCGCCAGCTCCATTCAATGTTACACAAAAATTTGGGCAGTGGAACATGTATTTTTATTTGGATCTTTCTCGATGTCTAAGATTCCAATAGGAAAATTTATATTCTACAAGTTTCTGGCTAACAAAGGCCTCAAAATGACAATTTAAAAGTGAACATGAGCAA